CGATGACACGCTTGGTCTATAAAGCACACAGCACAGTACCTCTAGAAATCTCTACTGTAACACTGCAAAGCTGTTCCCAAAAAAATGGCACTTCAAGGAGGGAGAAATAGTTTCCCCAGATCTGAAGACCCTAGGATCATGTACAAAAATAAAAACCAAACAAATATCAATGCACTCAATCAGGTCCTTAGCTCACAGTGATCTGTAATCACAGAAATAGACTCTAAGAGACTCAAAAGATCAGCTAGTCTTGTGCTCAAGCACCTAGATAATTCGTGGCATTCATAAAAACCTCCAAGAAGACTGCACAACATGCTTAGGCAAACTGTTCCTCCTCTTCTCTGCCTCTGTATCTAGAAAGTTAGTTCCCACTACACAAACTGGAGCTTCCTGCTGCAAATGCAGCTCAACTCTTTCTGTGCTTCTCAGGACAAAGCAGAACACATCTCCATTTGATAACCCCTCATTCATCTGAATATTGATTAAATCCCTCACTTATCTCCACTCTTCTAGACTGAGCAAACCTAATTCTATTAATCTTTTCTCAAAAGGTTTTTTTCCTAACGCTATCCTCACTGCTTTCCACTAGTTTCCCTCCAACTGATCAGTATCTTTCTCAAAATGTAATGTTCAAACCTAAAGACAGCATCCAGGAGAGTCCTCTTCAGTAACAGGAACAGAGAAAATCTATCTTCCTTGCTGTACAGATCTCCTGCTAACACAGCCCAGAAAAAGAATGGCTTTTTTTGCAGCAGTATTATACAGTCAATCTATATATACATTGTGATAAGTATCACTATCCTCCATATACTTTTCTGGATTACTGTTTGTTATTTTCCATTTCTTACCAATGCAAGTCCAACACTTTACGTTTTTATTCACTGAAATTCAGCTGCATGATCTCAAACCATCTAGCTGACTTATCAGGACTATTCTGAATTCAGATGCTGTCCTTCAGAAAAATGATGTAATGCTCCTAAACCTGGACTACCACAGACTTTAAAAGCACGCTCCCTATTCAGTCATATAACCATGTAAGTCAGCGTTATTAAAAAAAACCCCCAACTTATAGGGACTGAGGCCAGGAGAGATTGTTCACTTGAAGGAATCCATTTGAAAAGCTATCAAAAAGAAGAACCATCTTATCTGAAGTACAGGAGCAGTCTGTACAGCACCTCTCAGCATTTAAAGAGTACCAGCTACTGTAGTACCTACAATGTCAACAGAACCCGGAGTTTTCTCTCATATCACCCCTTGCCACATTCAAGACTGCTTAGCTTTGGACACTTGACAAGTTCACACATCACCATTAAAAACCTACAGTTGTAGGTCACACTAAACACACTTTCCGTGGGGAGCTACTACGAACACCATTAGCAGGTAAGACCAAAGATTAAAACAGTTATTCTTTTTTCCACCTGTGCCTTTATTCTTTCTGTACAGGTAATAACAGGGACTGGTGTCAAAGAATCTGCACTTGTCAGGGTGATCTTGGGCACTCCTTGGTACCAGGAACAGAAAATGGCAATGGGGCACAAACCAGTACCCCTTCATTTCCCTTGCTGGGAGCTCTAGCTTTCTTGCCAAAACACAGCAAGAAAACTGTACTGATGCAGACAAGCTGGTATGTGAGAACTTAGATGTAAAACAGTGGGCAAAGACTGAAATGCTTATGTTGCAGCTAGCATTTTATAATTGGACCTTTTATTTCAAATGTGTAAAGCCCATTCCTCTCAAGAACACCCTACTTCTCTGTCTTCCCTAAGATGACCACGTTGATTTCTTGGACCCTTCCTCCCTGCAAACATTCACACAGAAATAACAGACCTTCTTTTCCCCAAACCACCATTTCTCATAGGGTCTCAGTGCTTCCTACATTTTCCTGCACCAGTCCAGTCTGCTCCCTGACTCGTCACTGAGCTGTTTTCATGACCTTTGGATTCCCCCCATGCCTTCCTCATTCTCTAAAGCTCCTCCTGTCTTCCTTTACATCCAACACAAGCAGCCATTCTCACAAGTGCTGCTTTAAAATAAGACTGTTACATAAACAGTTACTAAACTCATGCAGGTCGGTTAGATAATATGGTACATATCTCCTTTCCCTCAGGTGTATACCACTGTCACATCCAACGAGTAATCAGTTTAGAGGGGTGCATAAAGTGTCACCTGTACAAGTGACAGTATCTCGGGCAAGAAGCAACACCACGCAGTTCCAAGCCAATTTCCTCTTTAAAATTCCACTGCTCTTTTGCAACCAATTTCAACTTTTGCTCTTCCTGAATATCAGACATTTTTCCACAGAACTCTTTGTACCAGAGTTTGGCCTCCAGAGAATCAAAGTCATGTGCTGCACCAGGCCTTCCAGGCTAAGGCAGATTCGGCTGCAGCAAACCACGTGGCCAGCAATCCCTCAGCACTTCCCCTAGGAACGGGGGGAAGGCGGCTCAGCAGTCTTTGGCAAAAGGAACTCAAGGAGCCCCATGCTGCCTTTTCCTTTCAGTGATTCAAACCCTCTTCTGAACTCTTTTGTTGTTGTTTGTTTGTTTTTTTGATTTGTTTGTTTGTTTTAAAGTTTTCTTCCATTTTTAGAGTACTTTAACTGACATTATTATGCCACCTTTTAACCTGATGAATTCAAACTCCAACCTTTCCCTTATGAAGGGGACAGAATTTCATTATACAAGTGCTAAGTGAAAGCAAGTCACAGGTTAAATCAGTGAGACTCAAAAACTCACTTCCTGAATACTAAATATCTCTGCACTTGTTGAGATAATTCCCGACCTTCCAAAAACCCAAACCATAGGCCTTTCCTGACCGCTATGATTCCACCTATGAACAGCAAGCAGAATATTATGAGGTCTCCAAATGCCTTGACCAAGGTTATTTCTAATCTCTGTTTCTAATGCCAAATACAGACAGCAAACTGTCTTTCAGCAGGGTATATTGAACTGCTAAATCTTGTAGTACTTGAGGCCCCATAATCCCCAAGCAGACACGTGGCCTAAGAGACAGACTCATGCATTTTGCATCTTAAAGCCACACACAGTCTTTACAACCAGGCCATTTTCAGCAACCATTCCACTGTTGCTGTTCACTTCTGACAAAAATACAAGTGAGATTCAGAATCCAATTACACCGTTATAATTTAAGAAAGGCTGAGACACCAGAAGCCTTGCAATTTTTCAGCTAGCATTATTCACACCACTGGAAAGCAGGATCATAATACCCATCCCACTGCATAGTAGCAACCAAATTATAAGATGAAAGAAAAAAGAAAAAAAATATTAGATACATGCAGTATCTATTGCAGCATAATGGTAATCAGCACCTGTCCCACTATCTTTGTGATTGCTTATAGATGAGGAAGCACTGCAGAACTGCAGATTTCTACTTTGATTTAAGACCCGTATGGATTAGAAGCAAACTGCACCAGTGCAAAAAGATGATGGCTCCAAACCTGCCACAAAGGTAAAGGATTTCTTTGGATTCCTGCATGGATTGGTCATATAGCTGATCCCTGTTCATTTCGTTAATTTTCTACCCTAAACTGCAATCCATAAAAGTGCCCAAACAGTCTGTAGGAGTTTTCTTCAGAATACCAATGTGAAACACTGGGTGAGCTTGGAAGGCAGAAAGCTAGTTTCTTTTTCTGGTTCACAGCCATATTATGTATTTGCCTCATATTTTAGCAACACCTTAATTAATCTAGTTTTAAAAGAACTGATTACTCAGAAGCAGTAACTATCCTAAACAGCATACAGGTTTTGGCCAGCATTACTCTTACAGTGTGAAGTTCACTGGAGACCGAGCTAACTAGCAAAAAGCTATTTGCACAGGGGAAAAGCTGTTATCTGGCACTGACAAAACGACAAACTTGGAAGCTAATCTTTGAAAAATACTTCTCTACCACATAAATCACTCATTATTAACATTTTTAGGAGCTGAGCAGAATGACACACAGCGATTTTCTTGATCTGCTAAGTACAGGCAAAATGACAGCACATAAACAGCTTGGGTTATCAAAACTGAGGTCCATAAAGCAAATCACAGAAGATAATATCTTTGAAATTAATCTGAAAGCTTTAGATTAACATTTATAGCCAATTTCATAGATTGGAGTTTCCAGAAAACTTTTTTTTTTAAATTATTGATGGATTGTAACAAATCAGGCAAGCTGATTAATTCCAATGTGAGTCCCACTACCACCGATAGCTCTATAAAGGAATAAACCAGTGTTCAATATTAACTGAAAACAAAAACAGTTTTTAGGAAACACTGGGAGGAACAAAGAGCATTGTTATGAATCTGTCCATACACCTGTGTAATGCTACATGTTGAATACAGTTTATTGAAATTTATGGGTTGAATACCCATTTTTTCAAGGGTTACAGAAGAACTAGAAAAACAAAGGCAAAGAGAATAATCAAATGTATGGACTGGCTCCTGCACAAAGAGCATCTAAATAAATCACAACTGCTTATCCTGGAAAAGAGGGCACCTGGATAAGAGATACAGGAGAAGTCTAATAAACTCACAAGAGACAAGAAAAGGGTGAGCACAGACTTTTAATCACCTCTTCCAATGCAAAAATGAGGCAGCTTCAAATGTAACTACTTGGCAATAGGTTTAAAATAAAGAAAAGGGAATATAGTTTCATAAATCCCATAGGAAAGCTCTGGAACACACTACCACACGATGTTGTGCTTTCAGAAGATGTTTTTCTAACTTGAGTACCTCTGCAGGTTAAGGATCTCTTTGTCCCAGGACAGTCACAGAGAGAGATGCATCTGTAGCCATCAGCTACTCTTGACTACTCAGATTCTAATTTGGATTTGTATTCTTCTTTCCCTCCTCTCTGTCAGTGAGAAAATATTGCTCCACACCAGAGCACACTTGCTGTCATAAAGCATCTTGCTGCCACACAAAAAATAAGCTAACTGTAAAGCAATTTAGACTATTCACCAACCAAAAATCAAGATCTGATGCCAGTCCTCACTTACCCAGATCCTCAGGAGTGTCAAACAACTGCTCACATAAGTAGTAGTCGTCTGGATTCAAGTAGGGCAGCTGCTTCAGCAAGGTCTGCTTAGGAATGAGATACAAGACTTCTGCAATATCCCCATCCTCAATAATTGACATCCTTTTGACTGAGTTTCGGAATTTCACCTTTTCCAGCACCAATTCTTCAGTTTTACTTGATCCACACAGCTTCCCAAAGCTGTTTAAGACGGGGAAAGATGGCATTTCTATTCAGCAGCAGCTAGACAAACAATCTCTACTGAATGTACTCAGTCTACTACTCGCAGCACACTGGCCTTCCAATCCTTCTCTTTTTCTCTTATCCACCAAAGAAGATTAAGGAAGATATATTTTTAGTGATTATCTTCAAGAGATTATGCCAGTATGCTTGATCAGGTGACTGCCATCTAAAACCATTGTCATCAGTTGCAAATCATCCCTGGAAATGCAACAATCTGAAGCAAAATCAGAAAGAGTATCTGAAAATCAGATTAGTATTCAGGACATGAGAAAGAACGTAACTGAGGTACATAAGAGGATTAGTTTAAAATCAAAAAACCTTGCTGTATCAGCAATCTTATTATGGAAGAATCGTCATCGCGAGCTACAAATGCACATCTGTGCAATTAATCTACCATGCCCCTGTTCCATGCCCGCTCTGTATGTGTGCTACAGTGAAAAAGTTATAGTAGAGTACTATATATTTGTCCTCCTTTTTGAAGAGCGTCTGCAGGCTGGCTAGCACTACTTCATAAGCAGATTTCTTTGGAGAAATCCTTTCTGCAGCTTTCACTGTCTATTCCGAACAAAAGCACTTAAGCTTTTCCCTAACTATTAAGGACTGGTTTGCTTGTGCTCTCCCCTTTCCTGTGTAGCTGTCAGGAGATGCTTTGCAGATACTGTGCCAATCCTTCCTGCTTCACTTACAAGAAGTATTTACATTAATCCAATTCCAGTGACTTGCTAATCTAATAATCTAATGAATATTTCTCCCTGGGTAAAGGCAGAGTTAATCATCAACTGGGCACTGGAAAGTCACAGGAAATTCCAAAGTGAAAGATTAAAAAACACCTCACCAACCTAAACCAACATTCATAATCTTTAAGCCACAGGTAGACCCCAGACCAGGCCCTGCTCAGAGACAACTTCCGATTCTTAATTTGGCCAAACTCCCAGAGACAACTGTGCAGGCACTGCTCGGCCCCAGGTTTTCAATTCCCCTTAGCATCCACAAGTCAACCCTAGCTGCAAAATGATCTGGTGTAATAATTGCACTGCTTCCCAGAGGGCTTTTGTTAAATCAGAAGGTGAAAAAAGCCATCAACAGCCTTACTGTAGACAGTAGGAAACTGGCATTTAACTCTTCCCTCAAAACCCAGTGTTCAGGTACTGTTTACTGATGGGGACAGGCTTTGAAGAGAAGACTGCTTTATTCACTATTTTAAAGAGAACATATAATCTCACAAAACCAGACTTTGATCATCTGTTATTGCACACATCCTATGAGGTCATTTACTTTTTATTTGCCAAGTAGCAGGATTTCTACGTTACCTTGAAAACAAGCCTAAAATTACAGTTCCCCTTCAACAGCCATTCTCTGGTTTTGTAACCAATCATGGACACACTGGGGCAAAGCTAGAATGCATTAGCACCATTGTACTAAATTTAAAGGGGTGATGCTATTGTGTATTTGAGGAAGAGCTGGCTGAACAAATACAGCAATTTGCATTCTGCCTTAGAGTATCTTCTGGCACATCAGAAGTCTCACTAAAAGCTGTGTTTTAAGTAGGAAATGAAACTTTGTAGCAATTTTTCAGTGTCTCCCAGATTTCACAAGCTACTGACCTGCACACCACAACCACTCAGTGGAAAAGGCAGATCTTCTGAAACTCCAAATCTTCTACCGCTTGAGCTGAAGGTGGATCACCACCCTGTGCTTAAAACACAGGGATGACTCATAGGAGACGGCTGGATGCACTCCAGTACAAGTTATCTCTCAGCTTAATATAAGAGTATCTATTTGTTGCTGGATAATCGGTGAAGGATGTTGACATTTGACAGCTGCAGTGCCAACTATCCAGCCTCACCAACACGTCATGGTAGACTTTGCCCTTTGAGGTAGGTGAGGCAAAAGCACACATTGGACTGACATTAACTCTGCTGCAGGAGTTAATCCTCAGAAAGCAGAAACGTGAGCTCTGCAATAACTTTTTAAACTGTTGCAACATTTGCTACAGCTTGGCTGCCTAAATCCTAGCAGAAAAGCTTGTCCTTCATTGCAGTTTGAATACAGTGGCTTAAGACTGACTCCCAGTCAACCTTCTGTTGTAGTCATGCTGATCCCAACCTCTCAGCTTTATTCACCTCGACAGCCACTACACCAACTACTGCAGTAAGTACTAAACTAGTATGATCTGCTTTGTAGCAGCAGTCAGAAGAAACTGCATTCTATACCCACATAATCACACATCATATAAATTATATAATGCCTCTATTGATTCTGTTAAGTTGCAGTTTGCCCTTGCATATTTACCTCTTAGGTAACTTCAGAAGAGCTGCAACCAAGTGATAGAGCTGAAGGAGAAGAGCAAAGGTACAAGAAGCTGCACCCATGTTCACCCATGCAGGGATCTGTTCCTGCACTTGGCAGGGGACCATGAGAACAGCTCAGTTTAGACTAACATTTTGTGACCCTAACACGACACTGTAGAAGCATCCTGCTTAATTAAAGATAATGTCCTCCTTTCTCCAAGACAGACTACTCCAGTGAAGTGGGCCCCTTTCCAGCCCTGGCTATTGCTGTCATTGTTTGATAATTACAATCTCAAAGACAAAACACTTGCTGCTCCTTGTGACACAATGCAATATGACTTTTTTGCTAGTGTTTTTTAAGTTTTTTAAGGGTATGTCTTTAAGAGCCTTCATCCTGTTAATATGTCATATAAGAGGACAAGAAGAGAGCAAAACAAGACCAGGAAGTACCAGAATGATTCCCGAGCCAGAAGAAGGGCTGCTTGGAGCAGTTGGTCTGAGGGTCAGATCCTTGTGTCCGAGGTAAAGGACAAGGCCTGAGGCAGCCTTGTACAACACAGCTACCAAGCACTGGGATTTGGCCTTAGCCAAACTCAAAAAACACAGTGGCAATCTCCTAGCACTTAAGTCAAGCACTCAATGAATGGAAAAGATTGATATCTAATATTCTTGCTGAACAGAAAAGGGTGGAAAACACAAGAGCACAACCCTGTCCTTATGTTTCTTGAAACACATTCTCAGAAATCTAAGGGGCCCAACCCAGAAGCATCATTGAGGAAATTTCCTCAGTAACTGCCAAATAGCAAAATATTTTAAAATCGCTGCCAATTCAAAGTGGTGCCTAATCCAAGTACTCAGTGCTGGGGGCACGAGCCTTTCCAGAGCACAGTTTGAGGTATGGGCACTTTCCAGTCTGACAGTTTTCACAAGGGACTGGATACGAGACAGGAATTAGGCAGACTTGCTACTTTAAATATTTTATCTCATTACCAACTTTATAAATATTTTATTCATAAATAATTTCAGCCATCTCAATACCATTTTCTATTCAATCCCCTCTGAATTCAGCAAACCAATTGGCTACCCAGATGGTAAATATATATATATATATGTATATGTTTCATATACAACCAGGAATAGAGGATTCTGTATTCTGCCACTAGAACAAAAGTAACAAAAACCCAGACTGCATTACACAAATAAATTGCACAACAGAATAGCAGGCACTAAATAATAACAAAAATTAGATGCCAAGGGCTAAAATCATAGTAGAAGAAATATCCCTTCATCCTCCTGAGAAGCATCAAGGATTAAACTGGCCCTTCAGCTAAATAAAAGGCAGAAATGAGTAGTGCATTAATGGTATCTTTAATTGCTTCTGCCATCAGAATTAAACTCTCTATAAATGCATTTCAGTGTGACTTTATTCTTGTACTGAAAGCAACAGAAAAACTCCAACCAAAAAACCTCAGAAACTGAAGTCTATTGAAGTCTGAATAATAATTCATCAAAAGGTAGCTGCAAAGAAAAATAAAACAACAGAAAAAAAGGTAAAAAAAACCCCAAAATTTTCTTTTTCCCTTATACCACTTCAGAGGGTAAGACATTTATTGCATAGGGAGGTAGCCCCAAATAATGTTTTGTGCATCTGTCCAAGGCAATAGGATTAACTTCCTCTCCCATGTATGAATTCTCACAGATTATTGAGAGTAAGGAGAAGGGGGAAAAAAGAAAAAAAGCCTTCACATAAATGAAAAATAAGCAAGTACTATGTCTATTTATACCAAGGAATACAGTTATCCAAGCAGTAAAATAAGTAAAACAGCAAGAGAGCACAAAAAGTCATTCTAACATTCAAGCTGACACACACATGAAGAAATAAAAGCTTTCTACTTGTGGCAAAATTACTCCATACATGCAGCTTCTTCACTTCTGACACACACGATTTACTTACTGAAGACTGCAGGTTGACGTACAACACACTCAGCTATTTACTGTAAACTGGAGGACACACTTCATCCACATAATGGAGACCAAAAAATCCACATGCACATCTTTGATTTCTTTACCTAAATGCCCAAAACAGGCAGCCATCTTCTGGGCATAGTGACACAAGCCATTCTCACCGTAGGGTTCCTCTGCAAGGAGCTGTTCACTCATTGCTTCAGAAGGAGCTGCCTTTCTCCGCAAAGTCAACCAACTACTGCTTGCTTGAGACTGATAAGACAACAGGGCTTCCTCTTCCAATTTATCTCCATTAATAATTCAGGTACTATATAAAATTTGCTGAGCTCTAAAAACCGGTAGCACAAAGCTACTTTGTGGCTTTTGAAGTAATAATGTTTTAGTCTTTAAAATGTATCTCAGCTTATTATGTTCCAATAGTTTACAGAAAATAATTTCAAATTGCAACAAAATCCATTCTCTTGCTGCACAAGGGGAAATGTTACTGGGATTACACTCAGAGCAGTGAGACATTTAAAATATTCACCCAGTGCAAACCCAGAAACAGAAATACCGCCTTTACAGAAATTTGTTATAACATACTCCAGCAAGCAGACATGGCCACTGCTGTAAGAACCCCACGAGTTCATCATATATTACCATGCACCACTTCCCAATGCTCTATATTTTCTGGGGATTAAAAACAAAAAAAAAGAGCCCAGGTACCAACATCATCACATTTTCTAGCA